GCAAAACCTAGCTCTTTTAACACTGAGAAGTTTTAACTAAGCAATCAAAGACCTGATAAAGATGAAACCTAAAGCTTTGGTTTTCTTGGCAGACAGAAGAGAAAAACTTTGTTTACATTGTCTTATCAAGAGCAAATCAAAAATCCAAGAAAACTTTGTCTTTTGAACAGAGAGAAAAGCAGAGTTTTAACCTTATACCAATGTAGTTTTAAAATTTTACTTTTCTTAACCTTAGTCCATCCTAAGCACACATAATGTTTCTTTCTAAAGAATTTTTACAACTTTTCGGGGCGCCTGAGTGGCTTAGCCGGTTAAGTGTCCGACTTTCGCTTAGGTCATGATCTCGCGGTTTGTGGGTTTGAGCCCCGCGTCGGGCTCTGTGCTGACTGCCAGCTCAGAGCCTGGAGCCTGTTTCAGTCTGTGACTCCCTCTCTCTCTGACCCTCCCCTGCTCACGCTGTCTCTCTCTCTCTCCTAGAAATAAATAAAACATTAAAAGAAAAAAAAGAATTTTTACAACTTTTCTTTGCTTTAAACTTTGTCCCAAAGCCATTTTTCTCCAAACAACTAGTCTCATTTAGGACAAAATTACACTTTTTAAAAAACCCTTAACAAAAATGTATTTTGATTTCTTATATCTTTTTTTTATATATCTCCCATTTTTCTACATACAGGGATGCTTTCCTTATTTCCAACAGTCTTAAATACACTCAGAATTTTAACTGCCAGAAACCTTAGTCTCCAGTAAAAACTAAGTAGCCATCAATTGTAAACTCTATGTTGTATCAGAATTTTCTAGATGGCAAACTTATGAATCCATTAAGCACAAAACATGTTTGCTGGGAGCTGCATTGGCCTCGCTGGATGGCAGTCACCATGAGGAAATGGCAGCATTTGCACAGCTCCGGCCATGAGAAGTGAAAACTGGTATCTCCTTCTGCTACTACTGGCTCATGTTGGAAATGAGCCTGCTGGTATTGACCAGGCCTCACAATATTCCATATCAGACTTATATTCCTCACACAGATTTTTCATAAGTAATAGCATATTCCTGCCTCTTCAAAAGAGATTTTAGATGAAAGCACTGTAGATGTTTGTCAAAAGGCTCTTTCTATGGGCCTTGCAGATCCAAGACTTAGATAATTAAGTCTGGTTAAGAACACAAGAGTTACGGAAACTAATTTGACAATAAACTATTTGTAAAAAAAAAAAAAAAAAAAAAAAAGAACACAAGAGTTACAATTAAGTTTGGCCCTGAGACAAAGAGCCTAACTTAGGGTTAAGGTACAGATAAGGGCAGAACATAAGTTACTACATATACCTTTGCTAATTGGTGATGTATAGCAGCCCCTTCCTCAAGGCCTACATTCCACAAACACCCTCCCTTACCCGGCAGCTGGGATGAGGATGGATCAGAGTAGCTAAAACATAAACCCAAATACAAAGGCTGACACATTTAGGGCCCCCATGGTATTTACACATTTAGCTGCGACTAAAAAGGCTTATACAAGCATTTATTAACCAGCTCAAATATATTCTTCCTCTTGTGAGCCAGACAGAATGACTCCTAGCCGATGTATGTACAACCTAACCTATGACTTAAAACCTGTTTTTGTACACTTTTCAAAGCATCTTATCACAGAGAATTATTTTAAAAATTCCATTTTCTGATGTCGTGTTACCGTTTGACCTATAAATAAAGACACCAAAACGGACAGGACAGAGATGCCTGCCAGGTGATTAGAAGGAATCACGGGACTCTTATTTTCTCACCGACACCGTCCATCCTTCAGAGACCCCTGGACCGGCTGGAGCTGGACTCCGACACATGTTTTTTCCTAACAGTTCCAAATATCCGTAGTCTTTGGCAACAAGTCAAAAGCACAAACCTACCTCTAGTAATTAGTGCTTTAACTTCTTATCTTGGTAGAGAGCCAATGAATTCAATTACAATTTCTCATGCAAGCAAAACTGTTTAACGTTTTAGGTTACCAAGGACCTTGAAAGTTATCTTAACAATTACCCATGAAAACTATGAGACAGACCAAATTAGCCATCATTTTAAGTCATCCTTTTGTTAACAAATTGGAACAGAGATAACAGTAATTTATTTGACCTTCAACAAATCCAGGTAGAATACACATTTGTGTGGTTTTTTTTTTAATGTTGGTAAACATTGTTTATCTCAAACCAACAAACTTAAAGCAACGTAAACACTGAATACGTTTAACTAGGGTCCACGTAAGACACTTTGTTCCCCATGGTTAATTTTGGCCTGGAAAGTTGGTGGGGAAATCTGACTTCAGTGGCCTTCGCTCCTCAACATCTAGGGGAGGAGGAGGAGCTGATGTTGCCCGAGGCCTTGAGGAGTCAGTTATGCAGCACCCCCCTTCGGCCCCCAAGGAAGGGCAAAAAAGGAGAGGTGCCAGGAGAAGGCAGAGAGAGAGAATTCCCAGTTTTGAATTTTGTGAGCTCAGACAGAGGAGAAGACTTCACGTTTCTTTCGTTTTGTTTTAACCAGTAGAATAGGCAGTTCATGTCAGTCCGGAGAAGACAGGGAATTTCCCCGAAACAAAAGGAGTTTCGGCAGCTGCTTAGGAATATTCCTTAAAGTCCCCATCTTGAGTGGGCACCTGGGTGGCTCAGTATGTTGAGCATCTGACTTCGGCTCAGGTCATGATCTCACAGTTCGTGGGTTCGAGCCCCACGTCAGGCTCTGTGCTGACACCTCAGAGCCTGGAGCCTGCTTCGGATTCTGTGTCTCCCTCTCTCTGACCCTCCCCTGCTCACGCTGTCCCCCCCTCTCTCTCTCTCTCTCAGAAATAAGTAAAAAAAAAAATTAAAAACAATTATTGTTTTAATAATTTTATTTTTTTAATAAAATTGGCGGGCCCTTTCCGATTCAGGCACTCATTCTTCCAGTGTCCCTGTTCATTGCACCCAAGGGGGAAGGGTTTGGGCGATCTCTAACCAGGACTTGATACAGAAACTGATCAGAGTAATCTGGTAATCTGGCTACAACATGCCAGAGGCGGCGGATGGTTGAGACACCTAAGGTTTACTCTGAGGGCCACAACCTACACCAAAAGTGAGCCATTCTAATTTACATAATTTTATAGTTTTCCAAAAACCCCTTCTTTGCACGGTCCTAATCCCACAATGTTCCTGTGAGGTGGTGTCGCAAAGACAGACAGTCTCAAAGACTTCCAATGAGGAGACCAGTCAGATGCCCGTCTGGCCGTGTCCCAAAGGAACTTAGGTGGCGCTTAGACGCAGCGGTCTCAGCTTTGTGACTTACGATCGGGAACTATTCCGACGTCGCTGTAGATTGTATGCCATTCACCACGGAATCGCAGATGGGCCCACTCAGACTCCGTAGGCTTTTGGGGACCTTAAGGGTAACCGCCCGTGGAGCCACAGAATCGAACCCGGCAGGCAAGCCCGACCTAGTCGCACATTCACACTCACATACACACCGGAGGTTATCACATTCCCTCCCACAGAACTCCTACAGATGAGACTAAAAACAATGACAATGACAACAGGACAAAACAGGTATAGACGTGGCCACAAAACAGGTGAACAGGTTTACTGAAGGGCCCAATAGACCAGTGCGCCCCGGGGCGGGAAGGAGCTGCGTGCAGCCTTCCACTTAATCCCCCAGACAGAAGCACATGTGCAATCAGAACTCAGATGATAAACGGACTTACCTCTGGAGGTTCAGACAGGTGACTGCCACAGGTTAACTGGGGCCATTTTCGGGGCAGCAGGAAAGACAAGAGTGTTTCCCCAGGTGCCAGGACATCAGAAGCCGGGGAGGGTGTAGGCGTCTCCTGTTTCACCCCGAAAAGGAATTGGAATTTGGAGGTCTGGGGTCTCCGTAATCTTGCTGGGGCCTCCAAAATGTTATGCCAAGAGACACAAAGCCCAACCAAGAGCACTGAAGCCGAGTTAAGGGAATCTTTATTACCGGCTGGGACTGCACACAGTTAACACAGAACTCTAAATGTGCGGCCCGAATCCAAGGACTTAGGTTTTTTTATAATGAGCAAGTGGGCAAGCGGGCAGTACAGAAGCAGACTTGAGCCGTTATTGTAAAAAGGCTACAAAGTACTGGTGTGTAGGACAACATTTGTCGTTCTGAAGGCGAGGCTTAGGGTCGTGGGGGGTCTCAAAGGAATAGTTACTACCTCAAGGACAGAGTATGCCAGCCATGTCATAAATAACCATTAACAGGGACCATTAACCCTTATCTTTTTACTTGTTTTTTTTTTCCTTGCACCTGAGGATAGTCATGTCGCCCTCCAAGCATAGACCCAAAAGGTAAACTCTGGATCAAGATGGAAGGACTGAGGCTAAATTCATGTGCAACAATGATTTCACAGTTCGTGAGTTCGAATCCTACATCAAGCTCTCCCTCTCTCTCTCTGCCCCTCCCCTGCTTGCTCTTGTCTCTCTCAAAGTAAACTTTAAAAAGGATAAAAATATTTGCCGATATGTTAACTAGCACTTGTAATTAACATACCATAATGTACAGAGCTGTCAAATCACTACTTTATACACCTAAACGTGTGTCAACTACAATTTTTTAATAAAGCAGTAAGAAAAAATGTTGGGGAATACTGTTAAAGCAACATTTATTGAGCTCTTGCTGTCTGCCACCGCAGGGGAGGGCAGTGCGGAATCTGAACCAAGAACCTGCCCCCAGGGCCTGTTGTCGTAAGGAGGGGCTTATAGGATCTGATGAGGCAGAATTCTCCAGAATTCCTGCCCAAGGACACACTTGGCGCCAGGCGGGGCTGAGAAATGGTGCCGGCCCAGACCTACACTGCAGTCCGGGTAAAGCAAGGCGCAATGAAACCTACGCTTCCAGCAAAAATAGGGTCGGAGGCTGGGCTGGGCGGCAAGGAGAGCGGGGCCATGCAGGCGGCGTTGGGGACAGCCACCTCCCGGGAGGCCAGCGCAGGGGGCGGCCGGGGCGGGGCACGGCCCAGACCCGAACCCCTGACGCTCAGCACGGCCACCCCGTAGCTCGCTGCACTAAAGGACTGTGGCAGTGCCGACCCAGTTCGGTACTTAGGACCGAGAACGTTAGGCTAAGAGTACGACGCAGTCAGCGCGGTCCCCGGGCCGCGCTGCGCACCACACGAGCGCAGAGGGCGACGCCCGCAGCGCCCGAGCCTCAGGAGCCAGCCCCTTGCCCTCGACACACCGGGACCTACTGACTGGGGAGCGCAGCGCCGGGGCTGCGCGGCCGCAAAGGAGCTCTCGCGTGTCGTAAAAGGGCCGCACGCGGGCACGGCTCCGCCAGACGGCTGGGGCTCCATTTTGGACGCCGACTCGGCTGTGGAAAGTTTGGAGGACCTGTTGCTCGTCACGGAGGCGCTCCCGCCGAGCTCGGCTCCGCGTCCGGCGCTCGCGGTCGGCGGCCCGGCCTCCCGGGCTCGGCGAGCAGGCCCGCGGCGGGGCGGCGGGGCGGCGGCGCCGCGATGGGGCCGGCGGGCGCGGACGAGCGGCCGGGGCCCGAGCAGCCCCGCGCGCGCCCCCGGAGCCCCGCGCGCGCCGCCCTGGAGCGCGAGCACGTGCGCGCGCACCTGCGGGCGCGCCTGATGCTGTTGGAGGTGAGCATCCTGCTGGAGCGGCTGGAGGGCGAGGTGGCCGCGGTGGAGGGCGCCGTGGGGCAGGGCCGCTGCGGGAGCGGCGAGGCGGAGGCGCGGGTGCTGCAGCTGTGCGAGAGGGCGGAGAGGAAGGCCGCCGAGGTGGCGCGCGTGGGGCGGAGGATCGTGGAGCTCCACGGGCAGATGGACGGCTGCGGCTTCTCCTGACGGTCGCGGGGGAAGGTAGGTGGCGGGAGTGGCCGCGGGGGGGGGGGCGGGCGACGCGCTGGAGAGGGCCCGGGACGCCCGCCTGGCGGTGCACGCGGGGCGGTGGAGGAAGGGGGGAGGGGGTGCAGACCGGGGGTCGTGCTTGTAGGCTGGTGACAAGTGAAAGGCGATTAGGTGGTGTTAAAAATGACACGTGAGGGGCGCCTGGGGGGCTCAGTCAGTTAAGCGTCCCACTTCGGCTCAGGTCATGATCTCACCGTTCGTGGGTTCGAGCCCCGCGTCGGGCTCTGTGCTGACAGCTCAGAGCCTGGAGCCTGCTTCAGATTCTGTGTCTCCCTCTCTCTCTGCCCCTCCCCTGCTCACGCTGTCTCTCTCTCTCTCTCTCTCTCAGAAATAAAGTGTTAAAAAAAATTTTTAAAAAAGAATTTCAGTTGTGATCGTTAATTTCCCCACCTGTGCTCTAGACTGACTGCTTGGAGAGGCTGTAAGCTGGACTTTTTGGTTTTCTCTCCCTTATTTTTCTATATTTTCACCACGTGAAACTAAATTTCCAGTATTCTTCTGGGGAGATGGCTTCAGCATTACATATGCAGATATGATTATGATTATTAGATGAATTCCGTTTCAAAAAGACAGGTTTTAGGTATATACTCTTACATAAAATAATAGGGTGCAGATTGTGAGCTGCTGCGAGGTCATATTCGCTACTGTGATGTTAAGGCGTTTTAAGTTCCAAACTATGCTCTTTTGCTTTGCCTTTTTTTTTTTTTTTTAAATGCTTCCTGGAATTCGGGGACCCCATGAAAGAAGCTTGAGGTCAGAGTTCTGCAAGAGAGAAGACACTACTTGGACGCAGCTGCTGAAACAAGAAGCCGGACCCCAGTCAGGGAGGTGGATGCCACCGCTTTGGATCGGATTGAGAGGCCCCCCAGGGGCTGTCGGGCGCGGAGAGTGATGTCCCCGCTTTGGGATTCTGCAGTCCGTCAGCTCGGAGGAGGAGAGCTGTGTTGTTTCCTTTTCTTTGTTTGCTTGTTTGTTTTTTCCAGAAGCATAATGTTTTCTGTGGCATGTAAACTGGTGCACTCTGTGTAACGTGTCTGGTAAGCACCGTAGACTAGAGGATCAGTTCTGGGTGCCGTGAATTTTGGCTGAGTTTGAGGTAAACCTTTTTGATCCAGTCGCGAGTTTCAGGAGCTTCTGCGCCTCAGCTGCACATGACAGCTGCGTGGCCTGGAGGGTTTGGGGGAGGACCTGGAGCTGACGGGCCCCACACCGATAGCAGGGAGCACCTTCCAGGCTTAGATGACACCCGGCCGAGGTCCTCAGAGCAGAGCTCCCAGGAACTGAGAGCAGAGCTCTAGCTTGTAAAGTCTGTTTTCCTGGAAAACACGCATTGAAAGCCAGTTTTAAGAATCTTTCTGCAAATTACCAAAGCCATTGACTCGGCCAGGAAATGGTGAGATAAATAATAAATTGTTTTCACAACGACAGTTTCTCTTTGATGGTCCTCATTGTCAAATGTAGGCCTGGTGCTTCTGTTTGGGGAGTGTGCTCAGAGGCCTGTGGGCCAGTGGGAGGCTTGGTCTGCAGGGAGAGGGAGGCTGTGCGGGGAGACAGGAGAAGGCAGAGCAGAAGGGGCCTCATGGAAGTGTTGGGTCTGGCCTCTGCCTCAGGGACTTAACGTTCACTGTGACGTGTGTCACTCTAGACTGCTGGACTCTCGCAGTTTCCTGGAGAGACAATCTGGGGTTGAGACAACGTTGAATCACAGTCCAGTGCCCCCGGTGCTGGTCCTTGGTTAACCACGGAATGAGGGTTCGCAGATGCTGGAGGTACATCCGTGGAAAAGTGGTTATCCACTTGGATCTGATATCTGTCATTTAGAACAGTGCCTCGTTTTAAGGCAGGAAAAAATGGGTATTGGGTAGTGGTACTTTCTGCAGAAAACATGGGAGGGGGTATCAGGTGTGGGGGAGGTGTTGCTGTTTATATAGGATGGGCAGATGACACAGTGGCCTGAGTGAAGACAGGTGTGTGGAATATTCGCGAGGGCACCCAGGGAAATTGTACTCTATGTCCCAGGTAGGTGGAGCGAGCAGGGCAAAGGGGTGGGGAGCCGTGTGAGGCCCAGGTGGCGTAGGAAGGACCGTAGGCCGGTGAGGTCCCAGGGCTCGGTCGCTCTGACGGCAGATGATGTGGAAATGGTTTGAGGGTCTAAGTGGCGGTGTAGCAGGATCTGGTCGGGTCTGAGGGAGACTCGCTGGCCGCTGGGTTGAGAATTGCCCGTCGGGGGCGGAGCACGGATGAGAGCGGGCAGGCAGTGGGGTTTCTGGGGCAGGGCGGTCGCTGCAGGCGCGGGTGAGCGTGGACCGCGATCTGAAGGCGTCGCTGAGGGGCTGTGTAGACGTGCGAGGACCCAGCAATGGTCCTGAGGTTCGCGGCCCGAGCACCTGTTGCGGGTGGCCATATCATTTGCCAAAGTGGGGTAGTTTTGAAAGGGAAAGGTGGCCCTAGTAACCGTGTGGTTTGGGCCCACAAGTGTGAACTGGGCCTGGCAGACAAGGAGGTGTAGGTACCCTGAGTTTTTACTGTGGTGGGAGCACTGAAGAGGGAGTCCACTGAGCATCGGAGTTTGAGAAAACTTTTCAGATGAAGTGACTCTTGGCTTGGGTCCAGAAGCATGGGCTCAGGTGCCCGACCGGCACCCCGGGCACAGGGAACAGGCGTCCTGGAAGTCTGTCAGTAGGTAGAAATGTGACGTGCTGGGGAGGGTTTGTGGGTGTTGGGGGGGAATGCAGAGGTGGTGAGGGGGGTAAGGAGCACGGGGGTAGAGGTCTGCACACGAGCTTTGTAGAGTGTAAACTTGGCCGTGTGCGTCCCCGCTTCTCCGCCTGGGGCTTTGTGCTTCAGGCTGCGCCTGCTTGTGCTGGATGGTCCCTCGAACCGGAGGCAATGCTGGTAAGATACCCCGTTTTTGAACCTGTGATGGGAAAAACATCGTTTAATTTTTTAAGTGACCTACGTCGCCTGCGAAGTTTAGTGGTTTGGGTGGTTACGGCCATCGGCTGAGCCCTGTGCAGCTGACCCCTTGGGGTCTCCTCAAAATGCAGGTTCTAACCTGTAGTTAAGGACTCAGTGGTGGGAGTTTCCGACAAGCTCCCCGGTGGGGCCTGCGTTGCTGGTCGGGGTTCCAGGTCCTGATAGCGGGGCCCCCGGGTTGCGGGTGGTGAGTCGAGAACAGTCGGGAGGCAGAGTGACGGCGGGCTATGGAGAGATTTGAGGGGGGCGACAGCACTGTCACATCTGTAGTTTAGGAAACATGCACACGGCTGAGAACACGGACGAGGCAGGGGTGTGGGGTGAGGTCCGGGATCTCACTGCTGTGATGGCACAGAGGGGGCGTGAGGAGCAAACCCACCTCCCTCCCAGACTTCCCTGGCCTGTGTGTGCTGCCCGTCGCTATGTGCACTGTCACCGCGTGTGCCACCGATCGCTGCGTGCGCCGCCCGTCGCTGCGTGCGCTGTCGCTGCGTGTGCCGCCCATCGCTGCGTGCGCTGTCACTGCATGTGCCGCCTGTCATTGCGTGTGCTGCCCATCGCTGTGTGCGCTGTCGCTGCGTGTGCCACCCGTCGCTGCGTGTGCTGTCGCTGTGTGTGCCGCCCGTCGCTGAGTGCGCTGTCGCTGCATGTGCCGCCTGTCATTGCATGTGCTGCCCGTCGCTACGTGCGCTGTCGCTGCGTGTGCCGCCTGTCACTGCATGCGCTGTCGCTGCATGTGCCGCCTGTCATTGCGTGTGCTGCCCGTCGCTGTGTGCGCTGTCACTGCGTGTGCCGCCCATCACTGCTAGAGTCCCCTCAGTCTCCTATCCAAGCAGCCCCTGAGTCTGCCGTCCTTTCATCAGCGGGGCGATCGTGTGCTGTGCCCTGAGTGCTCCTGGGAGCACTGGGAACGCAGCCAGGAGCGGCTGGGGTTGCCAGGGTTGAGGAAGGAGGGTCTGCACCCCCTTCTCTGGGAGCGCCAGGCCCCCGGGGTCCCTCATCTGGCTGTCCCCTAAGGCCAGACAGTGGGTGACCAGGCGGCAGGGTCACGTGGAGAGGGGCGGGAATGGGGGGAATTCTCTGGGAGTCCGTTTCCTTTTCGAAACAGCAGTCATTGATATTCTAACCCTTGCTTTCGTCGAGCTCATGAGGAAGGTTGGTCTCTAAGACGTGGACGGGATGGAAGAGGTCAAACCCCGAACTCACTCACAGAGCTCAAAAGTGAGAGGCATATCGCTCCTGTTCTTGCTCGTCAGCGCCCGTCTGGGGTCCGGACCCTGGGTGTGTGGGACGGTCAGACACAAGTCTGGGTTAGAAGAATCTCCTTGGGATTCGGCACTTAACACACGTTATCTAATTGTCACCTATTTGGGCCGTCATCTTATTGTCCTCATAGTTTGGGTGAGGAAACTGAGGCTGCAGGAGCCCTCAGGAACTGGCTCTGTGACTCGGCGAGCGGCTGGGCCACCGTCACATGGTGGTGTGGCACTGTCTGCTCTTTGAGCTTCCTTGGGGTCTTGACATTCCACTCGTCCCCTGTTCATGTAAGGAACTGGCCAGCTCTTGGACACTGTCAGCCCCGGCCCTTGAGGCAGAGCTTTGAAGGCCCGTGTGTCACGCCGTCCCCTGGACTTTGGGAATTCCCGTGGGGGTCCGGCGCCCCTGGACTTGCACACAGGTCCTGTGCTGTATCCGGACCGAGACAGACGGGACAGAGGGTGGCCGGGTTCCTCACAGGCCTGAGGCCTTCTCTGCTGCCGGGAAAGGGGCGCTGAACAGACGAACGCGATCTTTGGTCTTCCTCCACCCCCACCCCTGGGTCATCTGGGGACACCCACAGGGCAGTTCTTGGACAGTCAGAAGCCCCCTGAATTTGGCCGAGCCGTGCAGTTGGGTCGTTCGCTCTGTCCACTAAGTCACACGTGTTCACCCACGTTCCTCATCTCCCTCGTGCAGAGCTCCGTGCTCGCCTCGCCGCCGCTCGGGCAGACGAAGCACCCCCACCAGACCCAGCAGTCTTCTCACAGGCGTGTGGAACTCCCTCTGAGTGGGGACTGTCAGATCGTCCCTGTACTTCTGTCTGTACTTTGTTCAGGCTGCTTGAAACCACGTAAGTGCACACCGTTTAGAAGTGCCCTCCCTTCCTGTTGGAACTTGGATCCTGTGGCGATCCTCTATCTAGTGCTAGTTTTGTTTTTGTTTTTTTTAATTTTTTTAATGTATTATTTATTTCTAGGAGAGAGAGAGAGGGAGTCACAGACTCTGAAACAGGCTCCAGGCTCTGAGCTGGCAGTCAGCACAGAGCCTGACGCGGGGCTCGAACCCATGAACCGCGAGATCATGACCTAAGCGAAAGTCGGACGCTTAACCGACTAAGCCACCCAGGCGCCCCTCTAGTGCTAGTTTTTTGGTGGTGGTTTTTTTTTTTTTAACATTTTTGAGAGAACACACGCGTGTGTGTGCGTACAAGTTGGGGAGGGGCAGAGAGAGGGAGACACAGAATCTGAAGCAGGCTACAGGCTCTGAGCTGTCAGCACAGAGCCCTATCTGGGATCGAACTCATGAACTGCGAGATCATGACCGTAGCCGAAGTTGGACTCTTAAACCAACTGAACCACCCAGGTGCCCCCATGTTAAGTACTAGTTTTGGTCTGGAGTAAGCCGCCCCAGCTCGCTTTTGCTTTGTAGTTTTTTATCATTTTAGTTTCAGTCTTTCTGTGCCTTTACATTTCATAAGTGTGTTTTGATTTTGTATGTTTTGGATTTTTTTAAATCCAGGTTAACAATCTGTCTTTTGGCTTGAGAATGACATCCTTTTACATTTATTGTAATTGCAATAGATGCAGATTTATGTTTACCATCTTATTTTGACCTGTTCTACTTTTCCCATTTCCTTTCTTGCCTTACTGTGGAGTACAAGTTTTTAAATTCTTTTCTCCCCGCTTTACTGGTTTAAAGCTCATATACTCTTACTTCTTTAATTATCATCTTCAAAATATGTACATGCATCATGAGCTTACCAGAATTTCAAGTTTATGGTATCTCTGTCGTCCTAAAATACGCAAGGATCTAAACACTAGGGTATGCTAGTCTCTTGTTCATTTGTTTTTTGAGAGAGAGAATCCCACGTGGGCTCGGCTCTGTCAGCACAGAGCCCAGTATGGGGCTCGAACTCAGGAACTGTGGGATCACGACCTGAGCTGAAACACAGAGTAGGAAGCTTTATGAGCGGAGCCCCCCAGGTGCCCCGTGGGTCCTTATTGTCAGGGTGTGGTTTTGCTGGGTATGTAGTGAGAATCCAGGCTCCACAGTCAGGACCAGAGACCGACGAGAAAGGGCAGGGTGGGCGGACTGGCGCAGTCTCCCAGCCCCAGCTCCTTAGTGCTGTTCACCACTCCGGCCACGGAGGCAGTTTTGCTGTTCCCTAGCCTTGACGATCACTTGATGGCCC